GTGATGATCACATTTTTGTTCAGGATTTTAAACTGGCCACATCCAGGCTTCAAATATAAAAAACATTTCAGAAACCTTTCAGGAATTTGTCAACGGTAACAAAGAATTTCAGCTACAGGTTGAAACCATAAATGAAATGTAATAAAGAATTTCTGCTCATCCATTTCTCAATGAAAATTCCAATACATATATTAAAAAACTGAGTGTGGTGTTTAATTTTATAATTGTTTGGAAACTGGATATTCTAGCTGTCTGCAGATGCCTTACAGTGTTATAAATGTATTTAAACATCAGCCAATCAGGGGACAAAGAGACAGCGACCTCAACGTAAAACACAAACCGAGACTTTCACGTCTCCTGCCAAGACTTATCTTCAGTTTTGAACAACAGCCAGATTTATTACAGATCTAATATAACTCGACAGGTACACACACAGGCACACACACTTACAGATAATCCAATTTAGAACCATTTTCTTTTCTCTTCCCTGTGGGTCAGGCTCGCATTCGAAATTCATTAATCTCGTTCGTGTATGGGACAATTTCCAAAGACCCAGGGCAAGTCCTCCTAAGGAGATTACAACACCAGCTCACACAGAGGAAAAATCCCAAAATAAACGCATGCTTAAGAGAGGGAAGAACTGAATGAGAATGGTAGAAAACACAGATAATGAAAGATAACAGTAAGAGTCCCAAAGACAAGACTGGTAACTAAGCAACAGGCAGGAGACCATAAAATATTGTCACATTTTTCCACTTGTGGATGTAAAGCTGTCCTGCAGCAAAGATTACCAACTGCTTGCTTGTTTTCTCTGTGGCGTCAGAAGCGCTATTAATTTGCCCACTCTTTCTTTAACCGGCTATGGAAGCTTAAGTCATTGAGAAAAACAGAGCTTGGCCAGACAGATGTCCTGGCATCTAAGCGGGCCATGAGTCGTGCCAATGAGAAAGCCATGCTTCGAAAAACAAACAGCGAGACTGAAGACGGGCTGAATGAAGAGATCCACTAGGATGAGACTGTGGAGGTCTGCTGTGCCCAAACCTTTTATCACATGTATCAGATTAGCCAAGTCCCAAATGAAGATCACACCTGAACACTGAAATCACAGCTAATTTTGTGTTTTTAATTTTTTTTTTACCTACTCCACTATAAACCAAACATTAAACATTTTAATGAAAAAATAAATCTGATTTTCTTTAGTAAAATCTGAGGAATTTGTTGCATTTAAACTGTTAGACAAGGCTTATCTCTTAAAAAAAAAAAGTATTTGAAAAGATGTTAACATTTTGAAAACTCTTGGTGACCCTTGTTGTAAACAAAGATAAAAAGCAACCCAACTGCATGATGAAGCCTTAAGACATACACAGTATGACCAAGACTCAGAGTGTAGCATACTGGACTCTGCGGACTTAATGCAGACACACAACCAGCACGCAAAGATATAGTTTTCAGACTGTGTACAACTATTTGGTGTCACACAATAACCACTTCAGCTGGAGCAAGTCTTCACGTTGAACTGTTGTTTTGAAACACTGAGCTATTGCAAATGTGAGAAGCTAGATTACTCAAATATAAAATTTTATACGTCTATGCGCCATTCGCAGAAAATGTCTGTAGGATACGGAAGAGGATTGGGGCCACTGAAAAAATTAAAAAAGTTAACTCATTTATACATTTTATTTCAGTTTAATATGGGGAAAAACTCGGGAATCTGAGATTAAAGTCAGAATTCTGAGATTAAAGTCAGAATTCTGAGATTAAAATCAGAATTCTGATTAAAGTCAGAATTCTGCGAAAAAAGTCAGAATTCTGAGATTAAAGTCAGAATTCTGAGAAAAAAGTCTGAATTCTGAGATTAAAGTCAGAATTCTGAGATTAAAATCAGAATTCTGAGGAAAAAGTCAGAATTCTGAGATTAAAGTCAGAATTCTGAGAAAAAAGTCAGAATTCTGAGATTAATGTCAGAATTCTGAGATTAAAGTCAGAATTCTGAGAAAAAAGTCAGAATTCTGAGAAAAAAGTCAGAATTCTGAGAAAAAAGTCAGAATTCTGAGATTAAAATCAGAATTCTGAGAAAAAAGTCAGAATTCTGAGATTAAAGTCAGAATTCTGAGAAAAAAGTCAGAATTCTGAGATTAAAGTCAGAATTCTCAGGGAAAAGTCAGATTAAAGTTCTGTAAACTGTCGGTAGGCAGAGACTGTTCTGTCAACTAATTTAGTAATTGATTAATCGTTAAACTGGAGTATAGAGATTGTAAACATGCGTTTAGCAGACCGAGCGTTCCACTTAGAGCAGTGATTATACCAAAATTGTAAAAAAAATATATAAACATTTTGGATTTAAGATTTAAAAAAAGTTTTCGTTTGTCAGTATGCTCTATCCAGAACTCCACAAGTGGAAAATTTTTTGTTTCATTGTTCCTTAAAAAAACTTTTGCTATTCGATTTTTAATCAAAAAAATAACTGACAGATTAATCAATTTGGAAAATAATCGTTAGTTGCAGCCTTAGTTTATATACAGTATAGCTTACAGTTATAATCGCTGGCAGGTTATAGTTCAAAAATGTTTCTGTGTTTAAACCCTACTGCATAAAAGCAAAAACTCACTCTGATTTTACATTTAAATTTAGAATAATTGGGAGTTTATTGTGACTTCCCTGCTTTCAGACACTAGGAGAAAATTGTCCAATTATAGGGAATGGGTTGTAGTATATGCTTTTATACTCGCTGATCACTGTTTGTGGTGGTTTTATAAAAGCCTTGCTGGTTCTGGTTAATACACACAGTGAAAAAACTGCTGATATGAGTGGATAAAAGGTTCACATTTACCAAAGTTGCAATAACTGCCTTATTTCTTTGCAGTTCTTCATGTGCTTCCTCGGCAGGACGATTTTTGCAGTTTAACAAAAAGGAATGAATTTATGAATAATCAACACTGACAAACCATATGCCATCCCATCTGTCCAGTTCGTCATGCGTCTTGGCAAAACACAATCTTAAAATCTGGGCTTTAATACTTTTTAATCAGACAGACATGGACGTCAGAACAGTTAATTTGACATGAAATGAAAAATGTTGCTTAAAAAACTTCACAGGAGCAAAACAAACAAATTTGCCCATCAAACGCAGCAGATCACTTAGCAAGTTTAATTGTAGTGTTGTACTCAGCACAGCTGCCGGCACGGGAATTTAAAGCAAAACTGCACAATTAAAAAGGTTTTAGTAAGTGATTTGTGACAAATGATTTTTTTTTTTTTTGTTGCACAAAGAAACTTGATGATGCAGAACAAACAGCTGCCTTATATTTCCCTCTAACTTTCTCAGATTATTTTTCTCTTTACACGTTCATGTTCTCGGAGAATGTTTCCCACAAAGATGGAGGGGCTGCACATACATAAAACATCGGTAATGTCCCACGCACAACATGGCACGTTTTTGATAAACGTGCAAATAGAAACACTGGTTATGGTTGAAGTTTTGATTTTTCAACACCGTTGCCTTCACAGTTGTCACTTTTGCAATTGGCATGATGGTTTGGTCCTTGGGGTGTTTGGAAAATCCCCGACTGGCTATTGTTGTTCAAGATTCTTTGTCAAAGTGTAAACATTTTTACTTCACAATGTGTAGCGCACAACACTTTTTTTTTTTTTTTTACCTCCTTATATGTTTTATATCCAACTCTTGTCTCTTTCTCATCTTCTCTCACACTGTATTCATATATTCGTTGTTGTTGTTTTTACAATTGCACGATAACAACATCAACACGTGACGCCATTGAATAGAGTAGAAAATGTGTTGTGGGGACGGGCTTGGCGTTGATGGGGAAGGGGCGTTTAATGGTGGTGACTTTCACAATGTCAAGAGTTTTCCTTTTGGACACATAAACGTACGGCTGGGAGGGGGAACATAAGGCAGGTGAGGGCATGAGTCAGGAAAGGAAGGTTCGTATAATGAGACATCATTTTGCACAGTGTATCATTGAATAAGGGGGGGTGGGGGGGGGTGGATGGTTAATTTATTACCTCGCTGGCAGGTTATAGTGCAGCAACTCCCCCTGGCCCAGCAATTTTGAGTGTATGGAGGAGAAAAAGGCGATTAATGTTAGAAGTAAAGATAGAGTTCATCAATAATGACTGGAGGATCCAGTACAGTGCAACTATTCATACCTCTTGAACTTTTTTACACTTTATCCCATTACAGGTGTAAACTTTGTGTGTTTTAGTGGGATTTAATGCCATAGAACAAGGAAATAGATTATTATTGATGCATGGATTTAATTCCTTTTAAACATAAATAACTCTAAAGTGTGCTATGCATTTGTTTCATTTGAATGAAGGCCGTCATCAGGATGGATTACATCAATCAGAGAAGCAGCCAAGAAGTTAATGGTGGAGGATAAAAATAATAATTTTGTTGTTCTTGTTAAGACTGCCAAGTCCAAGGGCACAGCTAAACCTAATCTTGGATCTGTCGTCTATGGATGCTCTGCATTTATTACGAGTACGTTTTATTTATGGTAATTGCAGCTTATTATTGTTCTGCACAGTATTTATCAATCAGTGTGAATACAAATGCATGCCACACTTTTCAAATATCTTTATGCCAAAATGTAAACGCTGAGATTTGTTTTTTCCTTTGACTTCAGTCATATAAAAAATATAAGGGGTTGAAGTTTTGTGAGAAATGTCGTAATGTGAGAAAATGTGAAAAAAAGATTCAATGGGTATGCATTTTGCAAGGTGCTGTAAAGACGGAGGGTGGAGGGAAAGGTTGGTGAGGTTTCCAGCTGCTCAGTTTATCTCCTCTAACCTCTTTAGTCCCTTTTTTTATTCTGCTGCCGCAAGTCTTTTTCTTTTCTGGTTTTGTAGGTGACTGCTGTAGATATATCTTCGACCTTCATCCTCTCAACTCTGCTTTGTTTTTCTTTAAAACTCTGCTGATTATCTCCTCTGGAGCTGGTTTCGGCTTTAAAGTGAACAGAAATCCTCTGGTGAATCACTGTTTCAAGGTTTTCCTTGACACACTGGAGGGTGTTTATGGTTCAAAGACAAGAATAATTAGCCTCAACGTTGTAGGAGGGAGTTAACCTTTCTCATGAGGATGTACACTCATTTTGTTTAAGGAAAATATAGAATTGAATGACATTAAATCCCTTTTCAGAGAGGGTTTTAAGGTCTTCCACCTCCTTAAAACCAACATTAGGTCTGTATCTTCCTGCCTCTAAAACCCTGGTAAATGGCAGTAGGCCTCCATGGAAGCCAAAAGGATGTAAATCAGCCACATGGAGACGAACAGCAGTGATGTTAGCAACTTGCAAGTCCGCGGCCCACCCAGCTCGCCTCCAGCCACGGTTGGCCGGCGGCGGTAGAGAAGGGTTAGGACGCACAACACAGCCATGATGGTGAAGAGGGTGACAGAAAAGGCCAGGTTTCCCGGGTCCACCCTAAAAGGCTCGCCCTTAGAACGCCAGGCGAGGGCAGCGATGGTCCACGCCACACCAATGCCCAAGAAGACGTTGACGGCGTTGGAGCCAGTGACGTTTCCAATGGAGGCGTCGGCGTACTGGTCCTGGATGGCTGCGACCTTACTGGCAAAAGTATCTGAGAAGAAAGCAAAGGGATTTTTTTAAGTAAAACAGTGCTGAAAAAGGGAATGACATAAACACTGAGCATTGGGGTAAATCCATCAACTAACAATCTGCTGAGATGTCTAAGCAGTATAAATGAAATCCATGCTTGATACCGCCAGATATTACAGGAACTCTCATACTTTATGTTCATAGCACCATAATCTGATTTCTAGATAAGTTTAAAAGACTGTAAAAAGTGATGTCTAAATTCAGTTTTAAGTTTTCCTACAACGTCCAAGCACAAAATCACTCGATGTCTACAGTTGTTTGACCAGATTAGGGTCACAAAAAAACATTTGACAGTAAAGTGCTGTAGTAGTTCTATGCTAAATTAATCAGGAGGGCAAGATGGGACCATTTATTCCTCACTGGAATGGAAGGAATAGAATAAAAAACAACAATAGAGCTACAGTTCATCATTACTGTACATATAAAATGAAAAGGAGCTCAAAGAGCTGCAGGTTACAAACTCTGTGGTCCGTTTACATAAAAAAGTAGAAAAGAAACTGATTTAGTATTACGTCTTAAGCACAGCTCCAAGCTCTACTTCTACAGTAGCAGCGGCTCCTGTTCTCCCCTATCTAGACTACCCATGTTAAAATCAATTAGCTCATTTTCACTAAAAAATCTTCAACTTCTTGCCTAAATGTTTTTACAGACAACAACAAAGATCAACTTCAAAACAACCAATGTTTATCTTTAGCAACAGACTATGGATTCACCGATTTGAACCAATATCGTATAGCAATAGCAATACTGCTGTTATAACAAATAGCACATAATACAACATGATTCCCTGCCCTTTTAATGCCATAAATAACTGCTGACTGAAGTAAAGAACTTCTTGGTATCACTTCAAATGTGAACAGCTGTCATCCCTACTACTGAGATGTTGAGCTTTCCTGAACATCAAGACGTCAAAGTAAGATGATGTCAAGTGATCTTGACAAAACATTTTTATATTATGGTACTTTGTTTAATGGGAGCAAACTAAGCTTTACCGCAATCCATACTTTTATTATTCTTAGAAGTGCAAAAGGAAAGCCTTTTTATCAGAATTGGTTTCACAAGCTCAGGGTCTGCAGCCAGGCTGGCAGGAAACACCAGGGAACGCTGCCAGTTCCTAAAGGCCCGTATCGGCTTATTCCCATTTATAGTCTGGTTGCTGTGATGAGTCTCAGTTCTCATTTAAATGTCAGGGAGATTAATTGAAATTCATATACCAACATTAAAACCAACCTCCTAAGTGAGTTAATTGTAATCCACGGGTGAAACCTGTGTGCTTTGACACAGATAGAAGAGGTTTGGAGAAGAGATTTACAGAAAAAAACTGCCAGCAAAATAGACAGTATCGCCCGACTGTTAAGAAAAATCAGTCATTCACCTCAGTCTAGTTCTCTTTGGATGTTTAGTTCATATATCAATGTCTGATCTGATTTATGTTATCTCAGGGAAACCAGCTGGAATTACAACAAAAAATTGTGTTCTTCTTCAATAGCAAACTGTTAGGTTTCTGTTTTCTCTCATTTTTTTCTTCTGAGTAACCAGTTTTGCTTTTCTCCTTGTTTCTTAGTTTTTATGGTTTAATTCTTCGTTTAATGTGTTCTTCGGTTTTTTTTCAGTTACTGTCCTAGTCTTGGTTCTGTTATGTTTTCTTTTGAGTGTTTAGTTTTACTTTTCTCCATGTTTTATAGTGCCAGTGGTTTAATTATTATTATTATTTTGTTATTTCCAGTCTTCCAGGTTTTTCATTTGTTTCTCTCTGCTGCCCTCTTGTGTTCTCCTTTCTCCCTAGCTCCTGTTTTGTTTCTGCTCTGTCCTCACCTGTTTCCAATCTTCTCATCAGCCCTCTCTTTGTCTCCTTTAAAAGCCCTCTCTCTTCAGTTCCTCTTTGCTGGGTACTCGTCTAACCTTGTCAGTCTTCTTTCAACTCTGAGTCTCTCTGAGCCTTCCTCCTGGTTACAGTTCTTCCCTTGATGACTCCTAGGTTTTTGATAATGTTTGACTTGTGTTTTCATGTTTTTTTTAGATCTTTGAATTTTTGGACTCCTGGTTTCTCATTTGTTTTTGGACTTTGGATATTGGATTCCTGTTGCCTGTGGTTTTGGACTTTGTTTTAGTATTCATCATTAAATCTACTAAAAATTCACCTCTGCCTGCCTGCCTCTGCTTTTGGGTCCTCAATCCACAAACAAATCCTGACACAAACATTGAACACAAACAGATCTCCCAAACGTAAGAAAACATATAATGACAAATAGGATATCCAAATTTCTAATGCATTGGTTTGATTGAAAAGCTTCAAAGAAACTCTCCTTGTAGCCATATAAAAGATCTTTAATGACTTTTCACTTTTGGATTCTTCTACTTGCAGCCCATTTTAGGTCATACAACAGCATCTCACTGAGATCAGAACTTCACCCAGGACTTTCAATTTCTTCATTCTCTAGTATCCTAATTTGACCTTTACACTTCCTCACATGTCCATCGGACACCTGGTGATTTGTAAAACTAATGAGTCATTTCAATGGTAAGCTGACCAGGTCCTGCTACTGCAAAGCATCCCCAAACTATGGCACTTCCCCCTTCCGGTTTCACAGTTTTTCTTCCTGTGATGTTGTATTGAGTTTATGCCAAACATGTCCTCTGCTCTGGATCTAAAACGTATCTGCAAAAGAACTTTATTCTAGAAGCCGTAGTCTGTGTCCAGGTTCTCCCTGGCAGATGTAATGTGTTTAAGAGCTAAGCTGCCCTCCTGTATACCCCACATGATAGTTAGACTGCCTCTTTCTAGTTGTCAAAACCATGCACTGTAACGTCAACAGTAGTCAGAGTCCACTTAGGGTCCCATTATATGATTTTAGAGTTTTGGGAGACTTAAAAATTTCAAATTTGAATTGCTGATACACAAATGGTTCATAAACAACTCAGAGGTTTACAAATGACCTCAATAACACTTCCAGAACAAGTTCTGATCTGAAACGGCTCTGTCATTCCCTAAATTGGCAAATTAACAGTGAACGGTCCTCGTAATTGCAGAGTGTAATAATGTGAAGAGTTTAGATTTAAAACTTGGAAAATGTTGAGAGAAGATAAGTGCTCTTCAGAAGAAGATTACTATTCTGTGCACGGCTGTAAACTCCCCATGGAAGCTATAATCACCTTTTTCAACCACAGTTCTACAACCCACAGTTCAAAATGATGGATGAACCAATAGCAAACACACAACACCCAATAAAAAAGGAGGGAGACAGGAAAAAAGCATGTCACAGTAATAAACTGCTCCAGGTGGAGAATGAGGGCGAGAATTACACGTAAACAAATGAGGATTATGCTAGAGTGAGGTTCATAAGGCAAAACTGGAAAAAAGAGATTTGGATGTAAATGAATTAGCAGCAGAGAATATCATGAGTGAAGACCCAGATCCATGTCTGCATCTTCCCTCCCAGTGCTGCTGTGGAAGCAGCTCACTTAGCTATGGCTTCTCAGAGACGTCCCTGCAAGCCATCAAAGCTGCCACCTGGAAGAGTACCGCTTGAGCTATTTCTATAACTCATACAGCGGAGCAACAATAAACTTGCTGGCGAGAGCAATGAGGTAGGGAATTGAATTAAAGCCTGGGGACAAACCGTCCCCTCCGGGTGGATGCTAGCACAGGCTGAAGGCTGTGATGGAGCCTGTTTTTAACAACTCAGATTGGATTTCAGCCTCCCTGGTGGGACAGCTGGGGGAAAGAAAAATCAGATCGGAGAGAACGTCAGTCCCTTAGTCTTTCATGTGCTTCTCAACTTTAGTAAACTTTAGAAGAAAAAACTTACTGACAAAAATACGTTTTTAACCTTTACTTTTGTCAAATTATACCTCATGTAGTTCTATGTAGCCTAGCTATATCTTAAAAATACATTCTACCTGTGATACAAAGCCTACCTTTACAATACTGCATTACTTTCATTCAGAAGGAATATATTGGTACACCTAAAAAGATGACCTTAAATATAAACATGCCCTACCCTACCCAGAGGAATGAATGATTTCTGGCTTTCTTCAAAATAATTTGGTTGCTTTATAAAGCTCATAGTTAGAGTGGCTCAGGTTATCCTGAGCTATCTCTATAGTTATGCTCTATAGGCTTAGACTGCTGGAGGACATAGGGTCCCATTTCTAATAATTCTGCTTCATTCTATCTATTCTCCCTCTCTGCAGAATTTGTTAGTTAAATCTATAATGCTAGCCTGTTTGGCTGTGACACCATCCTTGAGAGAAATATCAGCTGTCCTGCTGCCATCAACAACTTTTTTTATAGATGTTCAATCTCTGCTTTTTTTCAGTGTAGTCCTGCCTCTCTGACTGTGACTAACTGGATGTGCTCTCTTCATCCTCTGACATGGGAGCTGGCTTTGAGCTCGCCTGTTGAGCTGGTTGACAGCTACCTTTGTATCTCTGCTTCTGTCTCCTTGAACCCCAGTCGGCCTTGGCAGATAGCGGCTCACACTGAGCCTGGTTCTGCTGGAGGTTTCTTCCTGTTAAAAGGGAGTTTTTCCTCTCCACTGTCGCTACAAGCATGCTTAGTGTGAGGGATTGCATCGGAGTCAATGAGTCGATGAAATCGACTGGTTTTCCTTAGATAGAAAACTTTGAATCAATTTAAATATATGATATGGTTGAGTTTTAAAGTGCCTTGAAATGAAATGTGTTGTGAATTGGGGCTATATAAATAAACTACATTGAATTGAAATGAAATAACTGAATTGAATGCAATATTTTTTAGCAATAATGAAATTGAAATGATTTTATCTGTTGCTGGTTTGTCCTCATTTCTTTGCCATCTTGTTGTGAGTATTACTGGCTCTTAGTTTTTGTGGATTCATGTTTTTGGGATTTTTCCTTCTGTTACCCTTTTTTCCTTATTAATCTGCAAGTAACAACCTTCAGCTTCAGTTCGCTGCATTTGGGTCCTGTCAACCCTCCACCCAACTTGATAGCACAAACCAGTCAGATATGGACCTAGCAGTTTTGGGCACCAAGAGAAACAGCTCAATAAACAGGAGGAGCAACTGGCATTGTTACAATTGGAGGTGAAACAACTGGATGAGCAACGGGGCAGGTTTTTAAACACATTTTCTGAACAAATTAACTTTTTTGTGAATCAGATTCACAGGTTTCAGAATCTGCTGCTAACCATACTCCTCCTTCAAGCCTCTCTCCACCACCCAACCAGGTCAGTTTTCCCTCTCAAGGCTTAGACCCCTCTAGCATTCCTTCTCCATTCTCAGAGCCCTCAAGTATTCCCTTACCAGTCTAAGAGCCCTCCAGTGTCCCCTCTGCAGTCTCAGAGCCCTCCAGTGTTCCCTTTCTAATCTCCGAGTCCTCCAGTGTCCCCTCTCTAGGGTTAGACCCCTCTGGTGTTCCTTCTTCAGGATTAGACCTCCTTAGTTCTCCCTGAGCCCACTCAGTGCCGTCCAGACCCCTGAATCCACTGATTTAGAGCTCATTGAGAGTTTGCCTCCAAGGCCCCTCAGCGGGTGCTCCTCGCCTTCAAGGCCCCTCAGCGGAAGCTCATCACCTCTTTGTCAAGGGTCCCAAGCTGTGCCGTTTCGTTGTAGGTCCCATGCTGTACCACTTCGTCGTGGCCCCAGAGAGGCCAGCCTCCAGAGGTCCTCCTTCTTCACCTTCCTCACGGCCGTCTTCCTGAGACTTTGTTGGCCTCCGTTAACGGAATGTGATTGTCCTCACCCACCCTGGGTTGTTTTGTGTTTTGGACTCTGTTTTTGTTTTTTTGTTTGGAGGTTTCTGGACATGTTACTTCAGGGAAGACCCAGAGACTATATAACCCATCTGGCCAGGTAGCTGCTAGAGATCCTCTAGAATGAGCTGGATCTGCGTCCCCAGCAGTCCAATCTTAGTTAAAAGGCAGACAGCGAATGGCTCGATTTCACAAACCCATTACTAATCAGAATTCTGTTGTCTTTGAGTAAATCTACACACAATTGACAAACTGTTCAGGAAATGAATATTCTACAGAATGTTAACTTGTAATACAACAAAGACCAGTCCCCATGTGACGTGTTGTCTTTGCATTTTAACTCCACTAAGTCAAGCTCTTTGAAATAACCTTATTTCTAAAGACAGCTAAAACAAATGCATTAGGATACAACATTGCCCAAAAACTCTAATACCACCCTGACTTACCTGGTACCGATGTCCCCAAAGCAACAAAAACCACAGCCGTCACAGAGTCCTTTAGTCCTATCGTGCAGCCGAAGTGCGATGCCAGATCCCCGGTGACGGCGGTGAGAACCCCGATCAATGATATGGAGACAAAGAAGCAGGCCCAGCCATTCCAGTACTCGGTGGGCGGGACAAAGGCGAACAGGACCTTCCAGAAAACCGTGAGGAAGTGCATGATGTAGTCGAAGCAGGATGGTAGCCGTTCTTCACCACTCTCCTCCTCATCATCATCCCCTTTACATAAGCAGAAGATTGACATGAATAATGATGCAGGTCAACGTCATCCATTTTGGAAAAAGCAGTTTCCTTAGTCTACATTCATATTTTTATAGCTATATAGTTTTTATTGTTTTCTTTATATAAAAAAACAAAATTTTTAAGTTTTTACAAATGTTTTAAAATGAAACAGTCAGTGGTTATTATTTATTTATATACCTTTTGTTTGATAAAAAAAAGTTATCGATAAGGGGATCAATAAAATATATATAGAAAAGTTATCAGAGAGCACATTAAAAATGATTATGCTTCTGGGAAAGGTACTTAAGTTTAAGTTGCCTGCAGAGCTGATGTATTGTTATGTGCATATGAGAGGGCATTTAGATGAATGTGGCTGCATTGTTAGGTGCTTTAAGTGGTCAGTGTTACTACACTGCAAAAAATGGAAATCTAAGTAAGTCATTCTTTCTTAATGTTAGTGCATTTTTTCTCCAATTGAGGATGAAAGTGAGACACTGCCAATGGAACAAGACAATTTACATTTAAAATAAAAAAAAACCAATTGCATTGTCTTATTTTAAGTTCATATTATCTAATTATCTTATTTTAAGAGTAAAGATACTAATTTAATTGGCAAATCATCATATTTACCTACTCAAATTAAGGGAAAATACACTTAATTTAAGAAATTTTTACTTATTTCTAGATCGTTTTTGCAGTGCAGAAAACTCTCATACAAATTTTTAACTTTTTTTTAAATTTACATCCTGATGTGGGAAACCCTAAAACTAAAAGGGGGTTACTTTCTTCTGTTGGGAGATCGTATCAATGATATAAGTCTTTTATACAAAAGCACTCTAATCAAAACCGCAGTTGCACTGTAATGTTGTAGTAAACAATATTTAAACATAAATAGAGAGTGAGTGTGTGTTACCTGCACTAACAGTAACAGCACTGACAAACTGCTCCCTCCAGCTGCTGCTTCCCACCACCAAGGCCAGGTTTGTCTTCTTGATCAGCTTATCTACTGTATTCTACAGCCACACACACAAACACAGAGGCAAGCATGCAAATGCATACCGACCAGGCAAGAAAAACACAACCCCCAGTTTTCGATTCAACCACAGAGAAAGAGAAAAATATTGTTTTCAAGTCCTGAAATTCACAACCAAGGAGCAGAAGTATATTTAGACACAGAACTTGAGGTACAGGATGTGTTAATTAAACAGTGCTTGCATGCCATGTTTTAAGTGACGCTTCCAAAGAAATCAAGAAAAGGCCTTCAGGCACATTTTCTGGCAATTCTGAGAAGAGAGTATTGAAATGGAAATGAAATATGCAAAAAATTAAAGTTCGAAATAGTGACTAGTATTGGCATTATCGTAATCCAGCTGCCACAGTTTAGAGAAAATCATGCAAGTAAAAAATGTATTAATAAATGAGTAAATCTGTAATTATCCGCTGCTGTTTTTTGTTTGTGTAGAAGGACTATAGAGGATTGAAAGTTAGCAAGCAGAGTGAAGCGCAAACAAAAGATACAATGAGAGAGCGATACCTTTTCAGTACGTCTAAGAAGAGTGTTTACTGCTTTCTACACATGCATGCATGAACACACACACACACAAACACACAACAGAAATAGAAAAATGAAGCAAAATAGATGAATTAATGAAAGAACACAAATGATCTGACACATTAAAATTCAAACAAAATGAAGAAATGGAAAACGGAGCAAATGGAAACCAATTTTAACCTTTTAAATTACACCTGATGTTGGAAACCCTAAACTAAAAGGGGTTCATTCTTCTGTCTAATGTATCACAAATAGTCTTCTATCAAAGGTTAAGTCAACCCATTGCAGCCTGTAAGTTCAGTTAAACAATATTACATAATAAGCATGGTGTTTTACCTTGCACTAGTAACAGCATGACGAAATGCCGCTCCAACTGCTGTTCCCACCAACCAGCATGGATTGTCCTAATAGCTTCTCTGGTATTCTAACATCACACACCACGAACAAGAGGCCAAGGCTCAAATGCATACCGCCACAAGAAAAACCCCCTCCATTCAAATTTAACCACAAGAGGAAAATCATGTATGCAAGTCCTGATTCACAACCAAGGAGCCAGATAGATATGCACAGAATGAGAAGGGATGTGTTAATTAACAGTGCTGCAGCCATGTTTAATGACGCTTCCAAGAAATCAGAAAAGGCCTCTTTACAGCACCTGCATCTGAGAGCAAAATAACAAAGAGTGACAATGGATGTTGTAATGAGCTGCTTGCAAGAAATGCCATCCAGTCATTTGTAATGATATGTGCATGGATAATTTAGCGGTGCTTTGCTAAATTAATTACATCCAAAAAGTTGAAATATGTATTAAAATGAACAGTAAGCTTGAAGGTTTTTTATTTTCTGGATCAGTGAGCATCCGGCTACCTTTTTCCCCCCAAATTGAAATCAGATTTCTAGAGGTAGAATATGATTAGTAAGATTTATTTAGCCATTTTTTAAGCCTGATCTAATAACATCACAGGAGGGAGGATTACTTTGCATGGTCCATTACTTGTTAACAAATGGATGAGTATGTTTGCACAAAAGGGAGGAACAGAAGTTTTCGAGACTATTCATTCGACAAAACCTAAATCAAATATTTTACCCCCTTGCACCTACTGCAGTGTTCTGACAAATGTGTTCATACTTGTTAGATTAAGCATATTTTAATCTTTAATATTCTCTAATCGGAGTCTATGTGGCAGCCAAACATAAATTAGTACATCATTCTAAAGGGGAAGGATATTACATGTGAGTTTTACTAATTTTAGATGAATAATATCTGAAAAAGGGTTGGTATTTATTTGCATTCAGCATTCCTGAGTCAATGCTTTATAGGGACACCTACTGTAAGTCCTTTGTTCCTTTCCTTTAGTTTTGCAGCTAAACTTATTGTTTACACTCCTTCGTAAAACAACTTGAGCTTAATTAGATTAGATAGAGAGCATTTTACCACAGATAAAATCTGGACTTTGGAAGAATTATTTTTATGTAATTTAAGCAAATTAACTTAGTTATTGCAGTGTATTTAGGACTGTGTTTTTGGTGGTAGGTAAACTACCATCATTCTCAAGTCTTTTGCAGCCTTTAACAAGCATTGTTTTAGAATTACCTTATATTTAGTTCACAAATACCCCCGATCAGCTTACCTTTCCTAGCTGAAAACAAGACCCCGCTCATATCATGACGATGCAAGTCATGAGGCTGATTTATACTCAGAAACCAGGTCGTCTGCGTGTTTCGCAGTGAATGCAAATGTGCCCCCACCCCCTCTGCAGACACTCTGCTGCACCTCTCCAAAATTGCAGGTGATCACAGACATTGCCGCAGACAGGAGGCCTCTGATTGGTCATTGTTTGGTTGCTACATCCCCTATGAGGCTTTTATGAATCTGCAATCATGACTTTCTCTTTAATCTTAAATTTCAGAGTTACTCTTGACTTTGTTTTGGTCAATTACAAAAAGCTTGTTATGGTAATATAACAAAAATGTCCAAAGTTAAGCAGTATGAAGATTTCTACACAGTAGCGCCACACACTTACCTTAAACTCGTAGGATTCCTCTATGATCACTTCCAGTTGTGTGTGTTCACCCAGACTGGGACAGCCCATCTTGGCCACCTCTTCCTCCTCTGCTCCCACCAATGGTTTGTTCTCGTTAGAGTCACCTGGGTTCACAGGTGGTTCATAGATTAGCACACTGAAGAGGCTGAGGTCAGTTAATTATACTTCAATTTAGAAGCAACTTTTATAAAACATCAGAGTGACCAAAGGTGCTTAGAATAACTGGAGCCAAACCAGAAAAGCAGCTGCTGCTAAAATAAAAAACGAGACTCTGAACAGGAAAACAATTGATAAGGGACAGAAAATCCAATTAAGCTAAATTGGGTTTGTCAGGTGGAGATATTGGAGTTTATTAGACAAACTGAAAAAAAAACCCAAACTCAAATGCTCCAGATACTGAAAGGGAACTAAATATAAAATAATATTTATAATAAAAATAGTTTTATAACGGAGTATCAGGGCCAGGTTAGAGATGTTTTTATTTATTATTTTTTATTTCAAGAGTAAAGTTGTAATATTACAAGAATAAATTAGTAACATTATGAGAATAAAGTTGTCATATTACAAAATAAATTAGAAAAATTACGAGAATGAAGTCATCATATCACAACGTTTCAGAAAGAAAGCTTTGAGCTCCGACCAGCTTATAACGGCTGACCAGCTCCACCAAACAGCAACCTGAGTCCATTTTGACATACTGACGAATCTGATAAGATTTCCTTATTTGTCCAACCAATGCCCAAGTATAACTTCACATGATGCTCAAAATTCCTCATTTTAGGGAAGAAAGTTGTTCTTGTAATAGTTGTCATAAAATATAACTTTTTCTCATAATATTAGGACTTCATTCTTATAATATTACAACTTTATTCTCGTAATGTTACTTTACTCTCGCAATTTTACGACTTTATTCTCGTAATGCCACGACTTTATTCTCGTAATTTTTTGACTTTATTCTCGTATTTTAATGACTTTATTCTCATAATATAATGATTTTATTCACAAAACAAAAAAATCTCTAGCCTGGCCCTAATTTTCCTTCGTAAATTTTTAGCTTAAAGAAGCAAGAATTTCCCTATTTTGTTAAAGAGGAATTATAGAGTTTTCTAATGATACCACCACCTGTGGCCAAAACACAGAACTACAGGACTCTGCCTGCGCTCAACCCTGACAGGGTTTTTAATTTTAATTTTTTTTTACCTTACATAGATTTGTTATGTCGTGCCATTAGTTTAGGTGGATGTTATGGCTTCTGAATATCCCTAAAATCCAGAGATGGGAAGTAACGAAGTACAAATACTTCGTTACTGTACTCAAGTAGATTTTTCTGATATTTTTACTTTACTTTACTACTTATTTTTATGGCGACTTTTTACTTCTACTCCTTACATTTTTACACAAATATCTGTACTTTCTACTCCTTACATTTTAAAAAATTGGCTTGTTACTTTAGTTTTGAATCATTTCAATTGAGTTACCGTTATTATTTTTCACGTCATCAATACCAAATTCAATCTAATTGGATGGGAATCTACGTTGCATTTGACGCACCACTACAAGATGAATCGACAGATTCGGAGGTATTCATTCGCGGCAAATCATTGCAGCTTGGTGGCGGTGGCGTTAGTATAGTAGTATGGACGAGGAGATGATTGAAAATGAACACAATGGAGATCTAGTCCTATTGGCAGACATCCATTTAAAATGTAGGCAACGGCATGAAAAAAGTGGTTTCTACTTTTACTTTTATACCTTAAGTAACTTTACAAGCCTGTACTTTGTTACTTTTACTTGAGTAAAGAAGTTTAATCAGTACTTCCACTTTTACCAGAGTATTTTTTAACACAAGTATCTGTACTTTTACTCAAGTACGGAAAGTGAATACTTTTGCCATCTCTGATAAAATCCATGTTATGAAGGAAATTACGCTACAACCTTATAGATGCATCATCGCTGAACTACTGAGGTGTCAGTCTGCGGATCCAATCATGTTTTAGTCATTATAGGTCAAAAAGAAATGCTTTTTAAAGATATTTTTGAGAAAAAACACACAAAAAGCCTCCTTAACCCCTGAAAAAAACACTTTAACAAAATCTAAAGAAAATACATGTTATATTTTCTATTGTTATGTTTTACTGTTAGTACTACTAAAAAATTAATGTATTAAAATATTTTGTAAATCTGATTCAGATAAGAACTCAAGAAGAACTAAAAACCTCATCGACGCCTTCTTTATAGCAGCCAGTTTTATTATAAGGTATTTCCATCCTCATAGAAAGACACTGTATATTTGTCTGTGATTAGTTGCCCTCTCTGAATATTTAATAAATGGGTTAAAATATCCTGAAAAGCTGGGAAACTAATTTTCATTTCCATAAGCTGGAAAGTTAGTCAAACTACTAACTGGGTTTAAGCTGCCAAACTCTGCAGCATTTACAGCAGTCTTGTCAAAAATTCTTCTGATTCTTCCGATTTTACACAGCAGCTGAAGAAACTTCATGTATTATTCAGAGTTTTTTTTCACCATCTTTAATTTATTCACAGTGGGAATTATCAGTGGAGGCTGCAGCGGGAAAATGGATTTTATTTTTCACTGTCATAGGCCAAATTGGAAATCCAGACTCTTCAGATTATATTTTTATTGCATATACAAATGGACATATACTTTAAGGGTTCTCCAACCTTTCTATTGCCTCATTAGTGCGTCAGATCATTCGCTGCTACATACTTTCCTAAAATCTGTGTCCTCACTCACTCTGAACAATTACTCCTTGAACTGTTATCAGTGTTTTTCTGCTGTAATTGGAAAGCCGAGCATGTCTTACAGTAGGTGTGTGGCTGAGCGCGTTCAAATGTCAGACACTGTGTTGTAAAACTAATTATATTTGTCTGCAGTGAAACACGCCCCGGGCTGTTGCTCTTTCTGGTCCAACATCCTGACTGTAAACCAGCAATCTACCTGGTAAACAGCATAGGTAAGGCCCAAAAAGCCATGTTTAGTTCAAAGAGTGTTCCATTTAGCTTAAACATAAAATATTTAGTTGATACACTGAAAAAACAATACTGCTAAAATGATAAAGCGTGTAGAACCTAAAAGTTAAGACCAACATTTTAAAATTAGATCTGGAGCTCATGTAAAGTTAATTACAGGGTCTGTAATTAATTAATAGCATTTAAATCAAGGTGATAAAACTATTTTTTCCACCTAGATTATGGATTAAACAAACATATAAGCATAGCAACACAAATACGTATTATTTTTAATACATTATTTAGGTTATTTAACCATCAGATTATTTTTTTGTCTTTTTTTTAGAAACCCTTGATATTTTATTATACTTTTATGAAACCTGTAGAAGTTTGAAATTAACTGTACATGGAAATTCTTATAATTGTGGTATAATATAATGTTAAGAGCATGAAAAAGGACTTTTCTCAGAAATTAAGTGTCCAGATTCATCTAAAATGACTTAATTGACGAATGACATTCGTGCACTTATGGTCCCCCCCGAAAAATTAAAATGTATAAACTGTGGCCATGGTGGGGCCTACAAATGATTAGCCAATCTACTTCGCAAACATTCGCAATCAAACATTATGCGTACGTGCCCCCAATACATTATTTGCCTAGACTCTAAGCGTAAGTCATACACTGTTTGGCTAGCGGACCGCCATTACGCCAAAGCATGAAGAGGTACTCTCTTTGTTCACTCTTTTGTGTAAACCTGAGCATCAATGCGCAAAAAGAATCCTAACAAACCTAACTTTCTCTTCAGAGTGTAACATTTTCGATTCAACATGCAACATCTCTTCAATTAAGCCATATATACTACGGAGGTTGCCTATTCTCCTTAAGTTGGTTAATAAGACAAACACTTAATGTTGCAATACATCTCACCAGAGATTTTTTTCTGTTTCAGACATTAACTCACTTCTATTGGCTCTAAATCTCTTCATCTGGTGCAACGTTAGCTGTAATTTGTCCCTCAGCCATGAAGTTTTGTAAGCTTGAACACTTCCAGCGGACCAACGCTTGTGCATCAGATTTACATTGTAGAAGAAACGGTGAATGCAATGGTTCCCGTCTGGGATTTTAGTTTGTATATAAAAAAAAAACAGATTGACAGAAAAATAACACTTTTCTGTCACAAAAAGCAACGTTTGTGTTTGCATATAAAGATGATTGCTGTCTGGAACATAGAGCACAAAAAAGCTCTTAGTTTAAGTTATTTTTTTCTCCAGCATTATGAAACTGTTAAAATCCTGGCTTTAAGAGCACAGGTTCAATGCCGAGGGACGAGGGGCTCACACAGTTAAATCTACCTACGATCGATTGTTCAGGCAGGGAGTTAACAGCCAGGCCATTGAGTCGATTATAGTGTGTATTGCGAGCATAACGTTTCTCCAGTAAGAATTTTCATTGTGATTTATACCATTTACATAACTGAGGTCAATACAAAACCTTTGAGGATTGTGTACGTGTAAAGTGTATATGTATTTATCCAACCTAAACTTCTGCTGCAGCGCCATAAGCAGCCACAGAAGCAACTAGATATTTTTTTCTGAATGCCTGAGCTAGGAACAGTTTTATTTCCACAGTCAGGTCTAAAGACTCTTGAGCAAATGCACTGACTGGAGGAAGTTATGCTCTCTGTTAGAAACACAGGGGAGCCAAATGGTGCTGCTAAATGAGGGTGAATTTTAAATTGACTTTTTTAATTAAAAAACCAAACACATGGTAGCGGTGCAATGAAAAACCCCTTTCTCTGGAGTTATGCAGCATCCCCTTATTTAAAACAGGAAATATGCACACATTTAGCTTATATGTCAGACCAATGGGAAAATAAAACATAAAGAAAGATATTTAAAATTTGTTTATTAGCTCCTTCATACACTCTCACAGCACACATACATTATATATAGAGATGTTTTTGCATTGAGAATTTGTCATGGTTTCACAACACGTTTTTACCTCTGTGTTTTCAGTTTATATTTGAATCAATTTAATCAAAAACTCATTAGATGGTCTTTTGTTATTCGCAATACTGCACTGATCTAGTTGCCTTGGCAGGCTTGTTTGCATATGCATAAATCACAAAATATGTGTTTTATTAATCCAGTGCAAAAAAACTAGAAATAGCAGACAGAAAACAGCTGAAAAATGAAGGGGAATGCAATTATTTGCAAATTCCCCTCTCTATTGTATTACTTATATCTGCCTTGCAGGCTGCTACTTGGTCAGGTAGTCATTGAAAATGATAAAGTTTGCAACTGCTAAAAAAAACAGAAAAATTATATTTATAGAGTTAATATCTTGACCAAAGCACATCCTTTCAGAATTTCAAAATATACTTTGATATTAAAGTCCCCCCCACAGATAAAAACCTCCACTTAATTCTTTCAGATTGGTGTCATTTTGTCAGTACAACACCACATAAAACAGTCAGACTGGCAGACCTACCGTGTTTCTGTCCTATCTCCAGTAGAATAGGCTCCCCAAGCTCAATTGTGAAGGTCTTGTTCTTCTCATACTCTTCATCATCAATAATTTTCACCTCAATTACCTTCCTGTTAATAAGAGAGGAAAAAGACGACACTCAGTGAAGGACTATCCATAAAATAATGATCCCCTCTGTGTCATTATAGGGAGGTGAAGAGGCAGGCAGGTGTCTGATGAGATCACAAAAAATAAATAAGGTTCCTGATGGTTAAGAGCAACCATTGGGTTTCTTTACAAAACAAAAAGTAAAAGCTGATGTTCTTAATAAATTAAATTTATTGATGTCAAATTGGAGTAATTTAGCTCTGCACTTAACTCATCACCTTGTGAAGCAGTGGGCTGCCACTGTGGGCATCCAGGGAGCAGTGTGGGGTTAAGGGTCTTGCTCAGGAATCCAGAGTGGCAGTCTGTGGTAGTGGGGCTTGAACTCAGAACCTCTGGGTTCCAAGAGCAATGCCCTAACCACTAGGCAGCCACTCTCCAGCTTATGGCCATACCACCCTGAAAACACCCGATCTCGTCTGATCTTGGAAGTTAAGGAGGATTGGGTCTGGTTAGTACTTGGATGGGAGACCAGCAGGTCCACCAGGTGCTGTAAGCTTTGGACTTACCTGGTAGGGGAGGCAGTTTGGTCAAGCAGTTTGGTCATGTGCAGCTTTGAAGAAAAATGGTCTGCCGTGATCGACCTGCTTGACCGTATACTCCCCTTACAGGTAAGTGTTCTTCATACTTGCCTTTAGTAAGCCACCCTGAACCTAAACCTAAGTCCTTTATCACACCTGCTCCTGATTTAGGACACCTACCCAGACCGTTCTACCTAACCCTGAGGCCACAGGGTGTCCCAGCTGGCACACTTCCATATTGAACCAGATACCTGATCCCTAAACACTAAACTTAGGACCCCGACAACCAAATGCACCCCCTAGCTCAGCATATAACAATCCCAGAACAGCCTTCACCAGGAACTTGCATTTATTCAACACATCTACTGTACAAACAAGAGAATGTTACCAAGAGATTCTTTAGGCATTTGCAAACACTATACACTCCACAAGATGGATTCCAGTTGCTGACAATAGGTGGGGATCTTCTAGTTGAGCGTGCATTCCTTTGACATTCATTCAACTCTGTGGAAGCCATTGGGCATAAGGGGAAGGTCATTGAGTACATTTAACCCTAACCTGTTGACAGTTCAACACTGTGAGAGAGGGTTAAATCTCCTAGGTCCTAAAATATTTTTTCTCAAGCTGAAGTACGTTGCACAGCTCAGCAGCCGCTTTTGTTTTTATTTTAATTACAGGCACCCTAGGTCTAGCAAGTCAAAAATACAGCACAAGGAACAGTGAGAAAATGCTTACAGAAATGCAGCTTTAAGAAATAACTTAGAGAAAAGAAAGCTTTGACAACAGGCAAAAAGTGGGAGATATTAGTTTGATTGCTACTGAAAGATGGATGAAATAAAAGCCCAAATGTTCAATTTAAACTAATGAATGCCATAAAATAATGTAGGTTATCTTTTCAAAATGTTAAAAAAATCCTCCCCCATAGGAAGCCCTCTTATTGATGCAGGTAGTGATTCAAAACAATAAAACTGTGAGCAAGGGTTTAACCTTTGATTATTAATTTAGTTGTTTTTTGATATTATATTTAAAGAAGCCAGAATTTATTGTAATAAAATGTTAAGCTCAGTTATAACTGTTTAGGGTTTCTGAAGGCTTTTCTGACATCTTTGGATTTGGCTGTTTCTAGTTTTTTTTTTTACTTCAATTTAATTCTTTGACAGGGGCCGTGACAGCAGTTTGTGAAGTTAAACAATTGATTTACAACAACAAAAGAAGAAGTACTGTAATTTGAAATATATAACAAGATTCAACATCTTTATTGGTGACACTCAAAACTGAGTCGCAGAGTGGATGATTGGGGGAATCCTTGTTAACACGCTCGCTATAAAAGCAGTTCAGATCCTTTTGTTTTATTGATCTTCAAAACATGCAATCCAGCATACAGAAGAAAAAAAAAAAACGAAACCACAGGTTCAAGCCATGATCAAACGCAAAGGAGAACAAAAAAACATCCAAAACTTAAAGCGTTCAGCAAAAAGTAGACATCCCCCATCATCCACTCACTGAAACTCCCCATGTGAGCAAAACAGGTGATCTTACAAATCACTGCTGACACCACATGATCAAAACTATGCCTATCCACCACAATCTTAATAATCTTTTAAGTCCCTGTCATTAGAGAGAGAGTAGTGATGCACGATATTGGGATTTTGGTTGATATCCGATATGCCGATATTTTAAAACTCATGTAGCCGATAACCGATATCGATACCGATGTTAAAGCTGGATAAAAATGCGTAGTCATTGAAAATAGCAGTTTTGTTATCCATTTCTGACACTTTGAAAAATAATATACTCAAATATATTTTCATATGCTGATATCACATTGATGTTTAAAAACGCGGTATCGATGTATTTTACTTTAAAAATCTCGTGAAATTTCATCGTTCTGTTACAAACTCTCGTGATATTTGTAAATTCTTGTGAGATTTTGTTAGTAAAATAGATCGATACCGCGTCAATATACCAACATATAAAATTATGGCAACATTTCGTAAATTTTGGGGGGATTTCGTAGGATAACGATGACATATAGCAATATTTCATTAGTAAAAGAGATTGATATGGTGTTTTTAAATGGCAATATATCAGCATATGAAGATATTGTGATATTTTAATGTATCGATATTTTTTCCCTTGTCTTTAGTAGTTTTTAAGTCTGTAAAAAAGAAGTTTTTGAGGAAGAAGAAGAAGTAGTATTTATTTTTTTTTTAGTCTTTAAAAACTCAGAAGCTGATCAAATATCGAGTTAAATATCGGTGGGGTGGCCGATGTCCGATATTCAGTTTTAAGGCCGATACAGGCCGATACCGATAGGGGGCCGATTATATTGTGCATTCTTAAGAGAGAGAGAGTCATCATGTTTAATTTCGTCACCTTCTGTATGCCAAATGGTCAGCTATTAGCTGTTATTTTAAGTATTGTTGAAAAGGCTCTTATTGGTCTTTCTAAAACAGTAGTAAAGGTTTAGAAAATATACAAAAAAGTCAAAAAGTCCATGTTCACACCAACGTTGCTACAAAGGGGAAAAGCTCTGGGGTACACAGTAAATTCCACAGAGTTAAATATGCGGTGAAGAGGTATATTGACTCTTTTAGAGTTATAACAACAACAATTGGAGATATCAACTTTGTAGAAAGTTTAATTATCAATAATCCACTGGGATTGGTGTTAAATTTAACTCTTAAAATGTTAATTAAACACTGCAAAGTTTACTGCATTGGAGCCGAAAAGAAAATATCAGTGTTAAGTTATAGACAGGGGAAAAAAGGGGGGGAAAAGTTCCAAAAGAGTGAATAAAGTATTAAATAAAACAAGAAAAAAAAGGATTTATTTTACATTAAAAATACAAAAAATATTGAAAAAACTAAATAATAATAATGTTAATATATGGATTAAGAAATATTACTGAGAAAGACACAAAAATGTATTAAAAGTCATTTAAATGATATAATGTTTTAAAGCCACACACACACAAACCAACGGATATTTGAGAAGGAATGTGTTGACTGTAAAGGCTGCTGCAGTGCATAATTCATTGGTTTATATGTAAATATATTTTATTATTTATGCTTTCTAGGTCATGTCATCCATTTCTATGTGCAAATGTGCCTCAACCAGATTATTTTTCTCCCAGTGTTCCTCACTGTCAGCCATACTTCCTCTAATGCTCCAAATAGGGTTTGGTTGAGCTGAGAGAAACAGAGAGAGAGAGTCGGAAAGAATGTGCGTCTGTGACAGAGGTGGAGACACATTGTTTGTATTGGTGAGCTGTCACAGCAGCTGTGAATAAAATTGTCTGGACGTGTTTTTATGCAACTTCCCATGAAAAAAAAAAAAACTCAACAAAGCTGAAAAACATTTAAATATTTAAATCAGAAAACCGAAGACCTTAAAACTGCCGCTGCATTAAGAAGAGACCAGATATGCCAACTATTTAGAACTTCACATTTTCTATTGTAATACTAACTTACTGTCATTAAATATTGCAGCTGGAGGTAGCATGACTCCAACCTTGGGTAACCTTAATTTTTTTCCCAGTCTTTCCAAAACTAAAAAGCATTTAAGCAAAAAAAAAAAAATGTTTATTTCAACCACTTGATTTATTCGTTTGAACTCTTTAACATTAGTGTGACTAGATGCAAATTACTTTAACTGTCTGCTTCTCTAGATTTATCTGCAGTTTAGCTTAATTTTTACCAAAAATAAACTTATGAGAATCACCCTCATAAGAATTTATGCTTGCTTTGCTGTACAAATAGTCCAGTGACTACAACCATATTAAGTTTTCCGTTAACTATATTACCAATGCACCTGTTCTTTCGTCCACCCTTTTTCTTACACTAAACTTTCAATGAATTTGTTTGGTTAAAGCACTCTGAAAACTCAACTTCTTCAGCAATGAGCTTATGTTGCAAACCCTTCTTGTGTAGCACACCATTCCAGTTTCAGTCTGAGATGATCCAAATCTGAATCAGCATAATCCTGCTGCTTTTGAAAAGTGGAACACTATTGTGACTAAAGTTTTTCTGCAATACTTTTTGTCTGAATAGCTTCTTAGAGATGCTGGTCTGTGCAGCTTTTGCTTAAGGCTCTAGCTCTTAAATTTTCTATTGAAATGCTGAGGGCAGAGAGAGAGTCTATACCTCGAGACACAATGTAATGACTATAATGTTTTCTATAAAAAAGAGGAGGCAATTTATATCAGGGTAGGTACGTTTCTGAGTAAGAATTGAGTGACTTCATAACTCTACTGACATAAGAGAACAAAGCTTGATGGAACAATAGCAAAACGGCACTGTGAATGGACAATGGGCAAATCAAAATGAAGATTTAATGCAATTTACTAAATGCATTTCAAACACAAACCTTTACTAACTGGGAATAGGGATGATGGAGTCAGTTTTTTGCCATTTTGCATTTATATTGGATTGAATTGGACTTCA